CAACTGAATTTCTGACAAGCGCTTGACTACCTTGTGGTTTGCTGGCAGTTGAGCATATATTTGCATCACATCCTGACAAATGATGGTCTCCTGATGGTGACATTCAGCTGTTGTCAACATCATAAACATGTCTGTTCAATCTGCTGACATTCCCCCTGAGCTGGCACTGCTTTCCTAATGCCTATGTTAATAGCAAGGTAAAACTGCAATAACAAATGAATTTCATTTAGTCTACAGCTAAAGCCTTGGGAAGTACCCATCTAAGGCTTAAAACCAATTTCAATTTAGCTTCAATTTCTCTTTTAAAGGGAGAAGGAATTTCTACTACTGAAATTACTGTGAAAGGCATGGCATATTCCAGTTTCTTTTCTTAGTCATTTTTGGCTTGTTTTCTCATTATAATTAGAATTTAATAATTCTTAATCTCCTCATACAAATACATAAAAATTTCTGTTCTACGACAGTTTCACACTGACTAAGAACAAATCTAATGAGTATGTTCGCCAGATAAAGCAAATAAAAATAAACATGTCCATTTAAATTTAAATTTCAATCAATAATGTTTCAGTATATGTATATTCTAAATATTGCATGGGACAAACTCATACTAAAACATTATTCATTGTTTATCTGAAATCAGATTTAATTGGGCATCTTGTATTTTATTTGAGAACCTTAAATTAGGGTGTTTTAACAAGTTATATCTATAAATCTATTATTCAAAAGGAGGATGAAATTCATGACCAAGGCTTCTCGGAAATGTTTTCCAATAGGTGGTGTCTTAGCTTGTAGAGGTTTTCTGTTGCTTTTTGGTGAGGGCTGCGGGGAGGTTGGTTACAAAGACCTGTTTTGAGGGAGGCTCGTTTACTTTTTCTTGATCAGTCTGTTGAATATTGGCATTTTTACTTTTGCTTGAACAGTACAACAGCCAAACTGCCAGCTTTTTTAAAAATATATATATAATCATTCAAGAGATATGGCAGCTCTCTGAGATACCAATTGTCTTTTGAAAAATAGCTTTCTTACACTAATCTGTTTTACAGGTCTTAAAAGTAAAACAAGGCTTTGAATACAGGGAAATGGATAAGTTGGATGAATGCATTCTGCTTGTTTAAATATTTACATCCAAAATAAAAGTAAGAAACTTCCTTAAAATTTTGTTTTTAATTAGGATAAAAGGCCAAAGGCACACAAAAAATACTATAAGTTACTTTGCAAATATTTGCCAAAGATCTTACATCATGTCACACTCTGCACTATTTTACCGCCAGACCCCCATGAGCCATTCCCCCTGTAATCTAACCTTTCCTAACAGCCAAATTCCTCTGCTAAAATCTCATGCTCATCATTGCCTTACAGGCAACATCTTTAATCTGATGTGCTGGTCATTCCTACATTCACTATTCTAATTTATTGTCTGTTGTTCAATGATTTAATAAACACTTACTAAAGCACTGAGCAAGGTGAATGGTTCATATTACTTAGTTGTTTGTAGTCTAGTAGTCTGGGCTGATTATTAAAAAGAAAAGGAAGTTTATAATAAGGGAAATACACTAGGCTTCAAAAGTTGAGAAAAGTCTATTAGAGACATCAGTAAAGGCCCAGTGAGAATGGCCTTCGCAATCAGGAACGCCGAGGTCTGAATCCTAGCTCCCATCCTTATTGCTGAATGACTTGTGGCATATTACTGACCTCTCTGAACTTCATTTAATAATTTCCTATCTCAGATAACTATCGTCAGGTTTAAAATGAAAATGTTTTATACATTACAGGACACATTTGTAAACACTTAGGCAAAAAATCAGCTATTACAGAGTAAAATGGCAAAATTGTTACAAATATTGGAATTTGACTGCCATGGTCTGAATATTAGATCCTCTCTTTACTAGCTGTGTAGACGTACGCAAGTCACTTAATCTCTCTATGCCTCATTTCCTCATCTATATTAAGTGAATAATAAGGGTAATTCAAAGTTTTAGTCCAATTTCATACTCAGCAGAGAGGATAAAATTGATAAACTCATGTACAAGAACTCTTCATTTAAAAAAAAAATTCAGGTAAAACTCTACAGTGTCTGGCACTGTAAAGTACTCAAGAAATGTTAACTACTTCAATTATCATCAGTGTCATAATTATTATTTAAAGAGGTAGCATTTCAGATAAGTCTTCATGGGCTAGTAATATTTAAATGAAAGTACTGAGAAGAAATTTCTGGTTAAGCAGACAGCAAGAATAAATGTAGAGAAGAACAAAGCAAGAAAGTTTGTTCAGGGATCAGAAAATACAGAAAGAACCAGAGAATAATGAAGTAGATAAGAAAGTAAAAAATGGCAGATAAAGGCTCGATTGTAGAAGGGCTTGGTGCATGTTTGAGGTGTTGGTACATACTTCATTACCCAATAGGGAGTCTCTACACCTGTCTGAGCAGGAAGTTAGGAAAGCCTGAATTTGGGCATCCCAGAGGAGGACAGAAAAGAGAGGACAACTTCCCAAGACTGTAGAATCTGAACTGAGAGGAGTTGGCAGCTGTTTAGAGGAGAGGGATGTGGGGAGGAAGTCAGAGAGGAAATTGCCTGAGAAACAGACCAGATGCAAACTGGTTGTGAGTGATAGATACATGGGAGTTAAGACCACAGATCATTCTTTAGCAAGGGGGGAAGCTACGTTGGGTCTAGACAGAGTAAGGACTAGAAACCTGCCGTGAGAGGAGAGGCAGCCCCAAGGGAATGGAGAATGAACTGCCAAAGGCAATCAACAGGAAGGAGGAACCAAGATGTAGATGTCACCTAGGGACATATGGAACAGCAATGCATAAAAAGATGCTTTGTAAAAAACAGTACATCCAAGAAGCAAAGTGGGGATGGAAAAAGGCAAAATCAATCTATGCTCATCATCCTCCCAGAGGGTGGCACTGAACCCTTTGGACTGAGCTTAGAGCTCTTCTTCTCTGGCCTCATAGCACCCAGTGCAAACTCTGTTAGAGTTCTTATCTCATAAAGACAGGTCTGACAGCAAAAATTGGTGGTATATATGATCAGTAAGTGTTTACAGAAAGAATGAATGAGTAAATTAGTAGCCTTTAGAACCTCAGTCCTCCATGCCATTTTTGCAATATAATGCTCTTTCCAGTATTACAAACTGGACTGTCATTCACAAGTCTAAGATTTGCCCTACTTCAAGTAGCAGGCCACATTACTTTGTTGTTTGTCAATTTGCATTACTAGCATTTAAGCAGCCTAAGGGAATGCATAAAGAGTTTTCAAAATGTGTTTCCAAAGCCTTTGTAGTTCCATGAAATCCCTGACCCTACTTGCCCTGCCTCCCTCTAGCATCCCACTGCATAGGGGCTGTGCAGAGTAAAAGCTGGGAGGAGGGAGGAAATGGCAGTCAGACCTTAGTTGGTTATACAAGACAGACATCATTGTAAGACTGTGTTTTCAAAAAGAATTCTGAGACCTTTTACTTAAAGCTTAAAATATGTTATACTCTACTCAAATTATAGAAGGTTCACGTAAAGTAAGTCCTTTTGTTTATGTTTAAATTATTGCCCAAACATCTAAAATTGCAAAATTAGATCCCAAACTTTTCCACCATTCTCCTTTCACTGTATACCTATATGAAGAGAAACAAAGCCGTAGGCATGTTTCCCCTTCTCTAAGTGTGGTTTATTTTCTTTATTTTTTTTATTTTTTATTTTTTTATTTTTGAGACGGAGTCTCGCTCTGTCACCCAGGCTGGAGTGCAGTGGTGCGATCTCGGCTCACTGAAAGCTCCGCCTCCCGGGTTCACGCCATTCTCCTACCTCAGCCTCCCGAGCAGCTGGGACTACAGGCGCCCACCAACACACCCGGCTAATTTTTGTGTTTTCCAGTATTCAACCTGAACAGTTATCCTCCAAGAAGCTAAGTAATACATTAGCACAGGTTATACTGTGAAACGCAAAGCTTTAGTCCAACTTCACACTAAGATTCTGTTTTAATTGGCTTGGCATGGGAGCCAGTCAAGCACAAGTGTGTGGGAGCTGACTCCTAGAGCCAGTTTGTTCTCATCTGTCCCCAGCTCCACATTCAGTTATGATTTCATGTTGGTAACTTAAAAATGACCATGCTGGAGAATTTACCCCACGGAAATCCTCAAATGCTACAAAGCTGAGCTTTTTTTCTGCCCAGTGATCCAGCTTACCAGCACACCACTCAAATTGTTTAAGTTCTTTACATGAAATTAACGCATAGCCAGGGCTGAGACCTACTACAAAGAAAGCATATACTCAATGAATTAGTTTTTCAGCCTTATATGTCTGCGACTGTATGTTAGTAATCTCACTACCTGGTGCCACTAGGATATATTTTACACATTAAGTGCTCTTCTAAAAATATCTATATAAACAGCATTTTAATCAACTCAATTTTTTAATGTTAAAAATGTTCGCCTATTTTTGAGTTAAAAGACTAATCACAGAATTTAAATGGTGAAACTAATTTAACAAGTACCTAGTGCAACTCTCAGAGTTAAAAAAATAAACTAAGATTATAGAAACTGAGACTCGTTTATGTTCTCTAAGCTATATAAAGGCGGTGACAGGGCTATTACCTGTGTCTGCTACCTCACAATCTGAATTTCCACACGAGCTTACAGGGTGAATTTGTTTAAAAATAGAAGAGAAAGAAACAGTTCCTTTATGGCTTCTCAGTTCCAGTCCCAAGGGGACTTTTTGAGTGCTAATAATGACAAGGACACTAGAAAAAACTCATACTTTCAAATGAAAATGTCAACACGTAGCTGGAGTGAAATAATTAAATTGCTTATATATATTTCCATACCTCATCATCCAACTACAGCAAATACGTGTATTCAAATAATCTCTTGTGAAACGAAAGCTTCCCTCCTTACAGGATGTTGTTACTGCTATCACTGCTCCCTAATCTTGTGAACTGATTAAAAAATAATACATTACTGGTTAATCTTTTTAACTATAATAAAGAGAAAATATAACATCATACCCATGCAAGAAGCAACAGATTTCTTTTCACCGTTCCACAATATCCTAACATCCCCACAATGATAAGAAAACAGCAAACAGCAATCATGACCGGATGAACCACAGGAAAGTAAGTCAAAATGACTGCTTCCTCTACCCTGAAAGAAGAAAAATAATGTATTAGAAATAAAATATAATCAAAATGCACCCAAGACATAGTAGAAGACACAACTGTGATTTGTGTTAATAATTCTTTAAATCACGATGCCTCCAAACTAGTGACTGTATTGTTATTTTCAAAATCACTGTGCTATTGTTTCTATGTTTATTTGCTCACTTGCTTTATTTTTGGTTTGGCAGTGTTTGATTTTTTTTAATAGAAGTGGTAGCTTTCCTACCCCAACTCATTTAATATATAATATACGGGACCTTGATAAAAGGTCCATCTATAATTATCTCCGAAGCCTTAGCCTAAGTAAATCACATGGGAGCCTTTGCTATTTCCCAGCTGGGAGGAATCTCCTTCCTCTTCTCTAATCTTTGACCCCATGTGCACTACGTTTCTTTTCCCTGACAATTGATCCTCCCCCAAAATGTAAAAGACTGCTATGCAAAGGAAAATCAATCTACTTTTGAAGAAAGGAATAGGTAGAAATGATTTTTGCTAGAACACAATGAAAAATTCATTAACCGAAACCAGTATTAATGATAAAAATTAACCATTATTAAGCTAAGCTCCCCTGTGTTAAGGACTTGAAAAAAAATGTTTTTCATTTAATCCTTACCACAATTCAGATGTCATATATTATAATACAGTCTCTATTCAGAGATGATGGAGTAAAAAGTAATTTGTCCCCTGTGTTATTAGTAGATTAACCTTGAAATTTGAGAACAAAAAAAAATCATTGTGGTGTATGGTTTTCATTAACCCAAGAATATGAAGGTAAGAGGAAGCTGATGGTAATTTTCTTAGGGAAAAGTAACTATGCTGGTTCTTTACACGCACCTATGACATGGCTGACACACAACCAGAAGGACAAGCAACTGCTATTACCATACCCAGAAATGTCTATATAAACATGCTGTCACCTGATTCCCACTAGGACCAGAGGCTCACCTTAAGGAGAACTCTGGAGGATGCAAGTGTCTGTGACAAAGGCTGCTATGGGCAGGAAAAACTTTTCCAAAAGACCAAGGGAGAGCACTATCGTATAAAGAGCTGAGGGCAAAGTTACTTAAAAGAAAGCATGAAAGAATTCAATCAATAATTATAAGGTATACCTCGTTTCTGCAGTTAAAGTGAGAACATTATTTAGGTAGTCCCTCATCCAAGCAGAAACTGCCAACACACTGATGGACATTAACTGGGGAGAAAAAAGTACAAACTGGTTACCAAAGATTTACGTAACATTCACTGCAGGATTAATAATAGGAAAATTAAGGATTTTGTTACATAATGTCTTTCCCAATTACCATTTGCTACATCTTGAAATTTACTATTACTATAAATATCTGCCATTCCATTCTGTAATCACGTCATAGGCACCAAATAGAATACCACCCAAATGGGATACAGAAAACAAAACTATTAAGTGGCTGGTCCCAGGTTCAGGACAGAAACTGCACAAGATGAGGAGGCCACAGAACAAATAAATTATCAAACATATAAGATGTGTCTAAAACACATTGTCATTCTTAAAGGCAAGGAAGCAATTAAATACTATTACTGAACAATTAAATATTGTCAAAAAAAGTCACAGGAGTTAATTTAAAATGACTCCTACTGGCTAAAATTCAAACAACTTAAGCATTAAAATGATAGTAATAGTAATAACATTAAATGTAACCCTTTGATTCATAAAGCGCTAAAGTATATACACTCATACTAACACATATATGTGCTAAAGTATATAAACTCAGAATGAACAAAATTCTCTGGTCATCTTTGTATAAAGTTGAATACTCAACTCATTCAGAAAACTGACAAGAATCTATGATTTCTATTTATCCTACTTTTCCCAAACAAACTAAAGGAAGAACCAAGGACTTGATTAAACTTCTTATGGAAGAATTTCTGTAATATTTGCAGGAAGCATTCTAGAGCATCACCATTTAACAACCCTTTCTCAAATAATGGATCTCAAAAAAAAAGATCCTCAATGGCTGCAATTCTATCAGGTCATTGGTTCTCAATCCTGTCTGTACGTTTGAATCATTTAAGACTGAAAAAAATTACTGAGCACAGGTTTACCCTGGACTAATTTTAGGGAGTAGGGCTTGGGCATCAGAAATGTGTAGCAGCTTCACAGATATTCTAACAGGTAGGCAGGGCTGAGAACCACTGCATTAAATGAAAGGCTGGTGGGGAGTCAGAATGGAAAAAGTAGGCGGATGATCCAGGACCCACTGGTCACTCTTAGTGTCACAAAAAGAGACAACTAGACATAATGTGTCTCCCAACATGGTACGATCAGAAGCACACAGAAATTCCTATGAAGTATTTTCACCAGAAGGTCAAACTTGAGTCAAATCAATCCTCCCGCACTATCAGTCAATAAAAAAATAAATGAAATAGATTTAAACATGTTAAATGCCACCACGGGAAGCAATTAGCAAAATCAAGCATGTGAGAAATTTTACAGGACAAATGATCTGCTTTCTTGAATTGAAAAACAAAACAAAACAAAAAAAAAACTGGCAACTTAAAACAAAAAGGAGAGAAGGAGAAACTCTTATAGATTAAAATAGAGATTACCCAGTGCAATACATTGACCTGGTTTGGATCCCGATTCAAACAAATCAACTACATAGAAACATTTATGATACAACTGAGGAAAGTTTAACCCTGAATGAATGTTTGGAAATTTTAAGAAACTACTTTGATTATTTTAGGTATGAGAATAAATTAAATTTATTTTTTTAAGGGTCTTTATTTTCTAGACTTATATATCGAAGCAATTTTAAATGAAATATATTGATATGTATACTTGTAAGAAAAAAAATAAATGAAACATAATGATGGCTGGGATATGGTTTAATAATTAATCATGACCGGTAGAAGTTAGGTGGGAAGTAGAGAAGAGCGTGTTGATAATTGTTGAAACTGGGTAATGAATAATTGGGGATTAATTATACTGTGCTTTTCCACTTTTGTATATGTTTTAAATATTTTCATTATTTAAAAACTAAAAAAAAAATAAATAAATAAAACAAATTAAGAAGAAGTCTTCCTGGGAAGCTTTCCTAAAAGCTGCATATTATTAATTCTTAAGTTTGAAATGTCTTTCCTTCTTTGATGGAATTTTTTTTGAAATGTGTATTTATCTTCTTAAGTACAATGTAGTGAAATTCAACTTACCCTGATTTTTAATAATTTCTGGTATCTTAATAAACATCAATTACCATTACGTGCTACAGCTTTAGCTTTAAATGCTGATATAAAGAATACATAGAAGGTAGAAATGAGTCTGCGCTAACTCAAGTGGTGGCCATAAAACGTGCTTTCTGCATGAAGGCTCCAAGGTAAACAGACTGTGTAGAGCTCTAAAGCTTTGAACAGTAAATTATGGCTATCTGCTTGGAAAATCTGCTAGTGAATTCAAACTTCCATCATTTATTACAAATATTTACCGAACAATTACTATGTGCCTTGGACTGGGCAAGATTCAGAGACTGACAATAAATAAGAGATCTAGGCCTTCTTGGAACCTCTTGGGGAACACAGGCAACAATTATACAAAGAAAACAATTACAAACTGTTTTAAAAAAAAAGTGCCATGAAGCACAGAAAAGGGAAATACCCTGCTGAAGATCTCTCAGATCCTGAGTGGTAGAGCTGGGATTCAAATTCAAGCTGTTGGGCTTTGAAGCATCAGGGTTAGTCACTGTCTCCCAAGTTTAGAAATAGGCAAGGTATGTTTCACAGAGGGTGAAAACACTACCCTACACAGCATGTAGAACTCCTTTTTAGAAAGAGGGGCAGTGGGTCTCCTGTAGAAGTCAGGTTCAGTCTAAATGTCTGAACTACTTTCTTTGGTGAATGGGAGCTCAGTGGTTCTTAACCTGTAAATACAAATGTATTTCAACATAATTTCCTTTGTAAGCCAATACATTTTGTTTTGTGGATTAAAATACAGATTAATAGTAATATATTAATTATATTAATCTTTTATGGAAGAATTTCTGCTAATATTTATAGGAAGCATTCTAGAGTATTACCATTTAACAACCCTTTCTGAAATAATGGATCTGAAATAAAATACAGATTAATAGTAATATTATATTAATATCACACTACTATTAATCTGTATTTTAATCCACAAAGTAGAATGCAGTTTAATATTCTGACAATAGGCCCACAGGTTTATAAGACTGCCAAAGGAGTCAATGGCCTATAATATAGGTTAAGAACCCGGGGACCACAGTCAAGAGTAGAATTAGGCCAGTTATTATTATTCTCATGTCTGTTAGAAATGAACAGATTATAAACCTCATATAAGTTACAAGTGGGTCAGCCACAGTAAATTAGTCATGTTTCTAGCTTCTTTTGATGCATTAACATCTATTCTGCATGCATATGCCAGACACATCCTGCTCAGGAGAACCTAAAAATGTGCCTAAGTCACCTTGCCTTGGCCTGCTGCCTCCCTCATTGCTTGTTCCGTCATCAAGAGGAGATGTTCTCTCAGGGGTGCACTTTTCAAATACAAACAATGCAATCCAGAATCCACACTCCTAAGTACCTCCCTTATGGGGCTCTCCCACTTAGGGGCCACTATACACCTGCCCTAATCACCCCAAGGCCAATTGTTCAAACTAGCCAATCCTAAACCCACTTACCTGCCTCACCTATACCTTCCCATAGAAACCATGGTATAAGCACTTGCCCACAGTTCCCATCTCTCTTTCTTCCTTGTGATTGACCCTAGTGTTTCCCCTCTTGCCCCCCACCCTCCATAATGAGATGTGTACTCCATGTCTTGGGATTTATGAATATAATAAACTGTCTTCTCAATGGCAGCCATCTCCTGGTTTTTTGGCCTTAGCATACCTAATTGACAGCAGAGCATATTAAAACACACAGAGCTAGCAGAAGACTGTTGTCTCTTTGATGAAATCTGTGGGCACGTGTTCTCCCTCTACTTGGCTATATGTGGGTCTTATGTGGTGCATTAGTCCATTCTCACACTGTTATAAATACCAGAAACTGGGTAATTTATGAAGAAAAGAGGTTTAGTTGGCTCATGGTTCCTCAGGTTGTACAGGAAACATGCCTGGGGAGGCCACAGGAAACTTTCAATCATGGTGAAAGAGGAAGCAGGCACATCTTACATGGCCAGAGCAGGAGAAAGAGAAAGCAGAGGAAGGTGCTACACATTTTCAAACAACCAGACCTCATGAGAACTCACTCACTACCACAAGAACAGCAAGGAGAAAAATCTGTCCCCATGATCCGATCACCTCCCACCAGGTCCCTTCCACAACATTGGGCATCATAATTTGACATGAGATTTCGGTGGGGACACAAATCCAAACCATATTATTCAACCCCTGGCCCCTCCCAAATCTCACATCCTTTCACATTCCAAAATACAATCATACCTTCCCAACAGTCTCCCAAAGTCTGACTTGATTCCAGCATTAACTCAAAAGTTCACAGTCCAAAGTCTCACTTGAGGCAAGTCAAGTCCCTTCTGCCTATGAGACTGTAAAATCGAAACCAGTTAGTTACTTCCAAGATACAATGGGGGTAGAGGCATTCACTAAATACTCCCATTCCAATAGGAAGAAACTGGCCAAAACAGAAGGGCTACAGGCCCCATGCAAGTCCCAAATCCAGCAGGGCAGTCATTAAATCTAAAAGCTCCAAAATAATCTCCTTTAACTCCATGTCTCACATCCAGGCAACAATGATGCAAGGGGTGGGCCCACAGGGCCTTGGGTAGCTCTACTCCTGTGGTTCAGCAGGGTACAATCCCTGTGGTTGCTTTGTTTCACAGGCTGCCATTGAGTGCCTGCAGTTTCTCCAGGCACAAAGTGCAAGTTGTGAGTGGGTCTATCATTCTGTGGTCTGGAGGAGAGTGGCCCTCTTCTCACTGCTCCACTAGGGAGAGACCTAGTGGGGACTCTGTGTGGGGGCTCAAACCCCACATATCCCTTCTGCACTGCTCTAGTAGAGATTTTCCATGAGGGCTCTGTCCCTGCAGCAGACTTTTGCCTGGATATCCAGGCATTTGCATACATCCTCTGAAATCAAGTCAGAGGCTCCCAAGCCTCAACTGTTGCCCTCTGTGCACCCACATGCTTAACACCACATGGAAGCTACGTAGGCTAACGGCTTGCACCCTCTGGAGCAGTGGCCTGA